AGGGTTTGGGGTTCAGGATTTAGGGTTTAGGTCACCTTCTCCAGGCAGGATGCTTTCTCAGACTCGACGCGTCTGAAATCCTGGCCAAGCTAATGCATGCTTGTGCCTTGGAGCTGATGCGGTCTCACATGAATTCTAGTAGTGAACCGTGGTTGCTTGATTTGGGGCGTTGTGGGCTGGGGTTGGGAGTTTAGGGAACTTGGATTTGGATTCGAGGCTGGAACGTGTAGTCGCTGTAGAGAGGGGAAGTCTCCGCTGACCCAGAGCCCCGGATGCCCCGGCTATGTGATCCGTGACCCATAAACAATGGAGAGTAAACCTTCACCTTCACCGTAAGCCCTCTCCTAAATCCTGACCCATAAACCCTAAGCTCAAACGGCAGCAACCCTGACAAACGCATGCGATCTTGGCTTGCTGAAGCTTCCCTGTAGGCGGATTAGGATTCAGGGTATGGCGGGGAGGATTGCTCAAGATCCAACCGAAGAGCCGTACACCTATTACGCATGTAATACATGGAAGACATGCATGGCCCTCTCCAGTCCTCCTCCCAGCATGACGAAAAAGGAACCCCGAACGTGTCAGCTTTTGTAATGGAAACACAAGCACAGACGCAGCCTCCAACTTTCTCGTCGCATCCTCCAGACGCCGCTCTGCGTCCTGCTGCAAAATTCGCCGAATGTAACTGGCAATCTGCGTTTTGGGGCTTAGGGTCCCCATGGTGGGGCCTTGCTTCAAAATATTGGTCAGGCACCTGACACAAACCATGCTCCAGTATCCTATCTTACAAACTAGATCGTAGGAACTTAGAACAACGCCCACTTCTGCTCTCCCTCCCTCCCTCCCTCTCCTTTCACCACCATCATATTTGCAATCGTCGTCACCGCCAACATCATCTACAGCCCAATGTAAAAGTTGACCTGTGGAGACTTGGTCCAAAGTCCTACAGACATCAACGGCGCTCCAGAACTGAAGATTTCAGTCATCGTCACACACATAGAACCCCGGAGAAACATCGGGGGCTCGTAGACTTCCGCCATACGCCCTTTAACCCCGCAATAACATTAGGCTTTTGATAATCCCCTGAGGATAATACTATAGTAAAAAGATGAACAATCAATCCCCAAATCCCTAAACCCTAAACCCTGAAACCTCTAAACCTTAAGGACCGAACAGTCGGCTTGGGAACCCAGAGTTGGCCTCTGCGCGCTGCATCGCTTCGGCATAAGCACTCCTGGCGGTTGACAGATGCCTGAAAGATCCCTCATACTGTCCCCCTATAATCCTTGTATACTATACTCCTATACAGTGGTAGTGGTGGTGGTAGTGGTGGTGGTGGTGGTCGTAGTAGTATTTGCAGTAGTAGTTGTAGTAGTGGCAGTGGTACCAGTTGCAGTAGCAGTAGCAGTAGTTGTAGTAGTAGTAGTAGTAGTAGTAGTAGCAGCAGTCGTAGCAGTCGTAGCAGTAGCAGCAGCAGTAGTAGTACTAGTAGTAGTAGTAGTAGTAGGAGTAGTAGAGGTAGCAGCACAAGCCGTACTAGGAGGAGCCGCAGCAATCGCTGCACAAGTCCCACAAAATTCCTGTTCTGATTGATAAGGCCGTTTTTTGAAGCCGAGAGCCTGCCGCCCTTTCCGGTTTTCTGCAGGGTGTCATGCAGTTTTGGCACTCGTTCTCAAAGCTACAACCCAAACTCCCAAAAGCGGGCCCTCAAACCCGATATCCTAAACCCCTAAACGGTGCTTGCCCTAGAACAAGCCCATGCAGTCAAAAACTGCTGGCAACCCGACTTGCAGGTTCATCGGCAGTTGCAAACAGAGTTCTAAAGTTCTAAGTACTGGCCTTGGGGATGTAACAACGAACTTGCCTGGAAGTGTTCTTCCTTAGTCCCCCCCCTCATCCTGTCAGTAAACTCCAAACCCGCGAAACCCTGAACTCTAAAACTCGAAACAACCAGCCCCCTGCCCGAATGGTGCCCGGTGGCCTCAATTCTTCGTGCTGCTTCTCAAGTCTTCGAAGCTGTGCCTGCATTGCAGTGGTCGCTTCCATCGGCGGCAGCTGAGGAGGTTTCGGGTTGGATACGGGCTTTCAATTCCTAAAACGCGAGCCCGAAACCTTAAACGCAAATGCAGTGGCACATCAGACAACTCTCTGATCAGGACCCCTGTTACTAGAGATCAGCATACTCCATGATGCTACATACATACTGAATACGAAAATCCGAAACCCTTTTTGCATCCAGGCCTGTTTGCGACCTGCTGTGTACCCCTGCAGAAAGGAAGCTGGGAAACCCTGAAACCGCGCCCCGCTTCCCGGGAAAGGAGGCCCAAATCGCCCTGTGACTCGAAGGACCGACCTCCTACTCACGGTTTAGGGCTTAGGGTTTACGCTCTCACAACTCGGACAAACCAGACCAGGTTCATGGTGGGTTTAGGGTTTAGGGTTTAATTAGGGACCTCCTACTCACCCACAGCCTTTGAAAGCTCCGAGCATTCGACAAGAAATCAAAAATCCACGACCACCCGCGTGGATCTGCAGAGGAGTCTCATTGCTGCTCCTACGAAAATAGGCTAATTACCAAAACTATTTTTGTGGTTTTCATTGCAAGAATAGTTAAGTACTTCTCCAAAGCTCTGTTCGAATTATTAAGATCACCAAGCTGGTTGCCCTGTTGCTTAGATCGACTGCTCAATTGCTAATGCTCCTCAAAAAACACTACAGCGCGGGCCCGCAGGCACAGCTCGGACTCACAAATGATTGAAAACCAGTTTCGAGGTTCAGGGTTTAGGACTTAGGGGGTTTAGGGTTTAGGGTTGGGCAATTAAAGTTTTCAAGCCGTCACCTGCTGGCATTACGGCTCCGACCGGCGAGACTAGACGACATGTCATGCACGACTTCAACTGAGCTGTCGATGTGGGGCTTCCATACTACCCGTACTGAGCACTGTTTCTATTTATTTCTATTTGCACTTATTGATCTGCAAGTACCTATCCTTTCCGATCTCTTTACGACAGGCTCAACTTCTGTCCCATGTAAAGCTTGTCCTTATTGAAGCGGATGCGATGCAGCCCCGGAACCCCAGTCGAGAATCTTGAACATTAAGCCGGGGTTCCCCTGTCCGAAGCCCGAAACACGAAACAACCCCAAAGCGTATATCAACACCCTATAACAAAGGAACATATGTAGACTATAACAACTTCAGAAGACAACACACGCACAAACCACATACATCACGCAAAAAAAGAATGCTGAAGTTGCATAGACCCTGCAACTATCCGTGGAAGTAACCCATATTGTAAACAACCCTAAACCGTTTTTTTGGAACTGGGACGCCCGGCCGTCAGAGACGTCACCTCCTCGCGCGGAACCGAGGCATTGAGCTTGGCTTGCAAAGCCTCGTGGGCATCGGAGTCCGAAGCTACAGCAGGGTTCCTTTAAGGGCTCCTGTGAGGGTTTAGGGTCTAGGGTTTAGGGTGAGTGGTGTAGGGGGGTATAATTATAATATATAAGGTTTGGGGTCTAGGTCTGGGGTTGAGGGGCTATCTGGATCACACTGCGCGTCCCTGCAAGGGGGGCTACCAGGGTACTATACGGGCTCTATGCAGATTCTGTGCAGTAAGGGTTTCGGGTTTCTGCTAGGGCTCTGTAAATGGTGCTATACGGTTCCTGCAGGGGTTCCATACAACAGTGTCTGTTGGGGCTTTACAAAGGCTTCGGGCTTTGGAAATGGAAAAGGTCTCGTGGTTAATCTACAGGTTCGCTTGATTCGCTCGTCTGATCGACTGATGTCCGCTAGTAATGATATAAGAATATAAGGATACTATTCCTTAGGGTTCCTTTGTTAGGAACAGAGTAGAAGATCATTGCCCCAAAACCCTTGAAAATTAAGCAGCACAACTATGTTTATAGTACCCTGGCAGTACCCTTATTATAGTGCCTCTATAATACCGTTACAGGTCGCTTTGCGGTTCTGGGCCTCGATCCGTCCTTGCAGCTCCCGGATCGTTGACTGCTCCGCTGACATCTCCTGCCAGGTTGAAGCTTCGAGGCCCAGAATATAACTACCTTGATACTTAGAGAATAGGGTTTAGGGTTCAGGGCTTTTTGGGGATTTAGGGGGTATAGTTACCTCGAAACTCATAGAATAGTGTTTAGGGGTTGGGGTTTTGAGGCTTCGGGGATGTATAGCTACCTTGATACCTAGAGAATAGGGTTTGGTGCATATTTAACCCCTTCGCCTCCTCTTCCTGTGTAGCCAAGAGTGCAGCCGCATCCACGACGCGGCGGCTCTGCGCGTAGGACTTGCGGTTCGTGGAAATGCTGCAGATCACGGCCTAGGCTTCTCGCGTTGGTCTTTGGGGTTTTCGGCCTAGTTGCGGTTCAAGGACTGGGCTTTGTTAGCTCAAGTCTCCTGGGATTTCTATTTTAAGGGCTTTGGATTTCTTTTCAGCACTCACTCTCGGACTTGCCCTAAAAAGGGACCCTAATTTAGAGACCCACACAGAACCCTCATAGTACCTTTATAGGGACGTTTTGGGGCTTAGGGTTTTCGGGTTT